TACATTGTACTTGTTAACAAACAAGCATCTACCCATGAGCCTTTGCGTTTTTAGCTCATTGCTTGGAACTCAATTCCTGCATGTGCAGGTGACGACCCCTCTGCTATAAATTATCAAAATACCAAAAATAAGTTTTAGAACACTTTGTTTACATATAAATTACTTTGAATTCATAACTCAATAAAATAATGAAATCTATTTACAGTGAATATTTCACTTTCACAAACATCAACCATTTGGTAAGTGTTTCTATTCATTCTAAAGCTACACCTGTTATATTATACAGTTTTATTATGTCTTTACCTACAGTTTTTCTAAATTTTACAGTTTCAATAAACCTCTTCATTTCTAACAAACATTGCTCACTGTCGCAACAGTATTTTAATCACCCTCCCCCCCAAAAAGCACAACGTATAATTTGAGCAATTATTAGTCTCATTATTTGAAGTATTTTAATCACGTTAAATAAAATGTATAAAGACAAGTACATTATTTCAATTGAAAGGTATTTTTATCTATATTCTGCACACAACACAATTGTCCCAATTTCTTTGAGATTTTAATTTTCCTCTTTTATTTGCAATTATAAATTCAACTACTGTAGCTGAATAATTAAAAATAAATTGATTGAAAGGCACAAAAGTTTGTTTTTTCAATTAATTTTTTCCCACATTAAATGAGAAAGTTAAGCAGTATCCTGAAGTACGTCTTCATGTCCGAATTAATTTAGTTTGTCAAATATGCCCCCCACTTATGAGGAATGTATGCCACAACAATTTGATGAGTATATTCACAGAAGAGATGAACCAGAGACTTGCATGTACCTCCTTCTCCACCACAAAATGTTAAACTTGATTCAGATTTGTGTGGCATGCAATTATACAACTCCACAATACTATATAAAATGTTATGTCAGTAAATCCCACTTAAAGTCTCTCAGTCCAATAAGGGAAATGTTTGTCATCAAGTAAAATTAAAACACATTAAACAGCATGGTGGTGTGAAGTGCGGTGGTCATGGCGCTGCGCATGTACGACATTTGTGTTGATAAACAGATTCTCCCACAATCCAGTGCACTTCA